CACTTAAACTAATTTTTAAAAAAAGTTAATGAAATTTCATGGTTTTATTCTTAAAGTTTAAGTGTTAAATTTATTTTTTTGAATTTTATTGAAAATCATTTATATTTTTTTTAAATGAGTTTAAGTGTTAAATCTATATTACGTGAAAACATTGCCGAACTTCGAACACCAAAGCTTACGGACCAACTAAGGACAGAATGCCTAGGCGCGGTTAGTTTTCGACGTTTTTAAAATATAACACTCAAACTAATTTTTTAAAAAAGTTAATGAAATTTCATGGTCTTATTCTTAAAGTTTAAGTGTTAAATTTATTTTTTTGAATCTTAGTTAAAATCATTTCTATTTTTTTAAAATGAGTTTAAGTGTTAAATCTATATTACGTGAAAACATTGCCGAACTTTGAACACCAAAGCTTACGGACCAACTAAGGACAGGATGCCTAGGCGCGGTTAGTTTTCGACGTTTTTAAAATTTACCACTTAAACTAATTTTTTAAAAATATTAATGAAATGTCATGGTTTTATTCTTAAAGTTTAAGTGTTAATTTTTTTAAAAAACTTTTTTAGTAAAAATCATTATTATTATTTTTAAATGAGTTTAAGTGTTAAATCTATATTACGTGAAAACATTACCGAACTTCGAACACCAAAGGTTACGGACCAACTAAGGACAGGATGCCTAGGCGCGGTTAGTTTTCGTCATTTTAAAAATTTAACACTTAATCTAATTTTTTAAAAAATAATAGTGAAATTAATATGGTTTTAGTTAAAAAGATTAATTTCCTAAAGTTTAAGTGTTAAATTTGTTTTACTTAAACTAATTTTTAAAGAAAAAAAAATAAGAATGAAAAAAGTAATACCTTGTTGGATTTGGTAGCAAAGAAGGCCCATACAAAAAGCCCATTCGAACTTGGAAAATCTGAGAAGCTTCTTTGTCTTTGATGATTGCTTTCTTCCTCCACCATCGCCGTCAATGGAAACGAGAATCCTTTGATCTCCTCTCAGTCGTCTCTCTCTCGCCATCTCCGCCGCCGGTCTCAGGATTCATCTTGGTCGAAGAAGAATCAACATCAACTTCCATGACGCTCCTCTTTTGTTTGGTTTGGTTGGTGAAGATTTGGCGAAGAGCAACGGCAAACCAACAAATCAAGCGTCGAACAAGTTGGAGCCAGAGATGAAAAACTCATGAAATTCGATGAAATCGAAGAGAATAGAGGTGTAAATTGGAGAAGCGAATCTAAAATCAGAGAAATTGCATCTTTTTACTCTATAAGTCTCTCTCGCTCTGCATGTTTCTCGTTTCTCTGGTTTGTTTGATGAAACTAAAACAACGATTACACATAGAGAGAAGATAAGGCTCGAGACTCTCTATTTATAGACTCATCTTATGTGTTTGGGATCAAAGTTTCCTTTTTTCACTCTTTTGTGTTGTTTCCTTTTTTTTTTTTAACACAACGTAACGGTCAAGAAAGCAAATCGTATCTAATCGTATCTTCTAATATACAACGCTCCCACTATACTTTTTTCATGTTGTGTTTCCTTTTTTAAAAAAAATCTTCTATATTGTTTCCTATTTCACTTGGGTTCGAGAACGTTTAGAGCAAAAATAGATACGTCTAACGTCTTATATTAGCCAAGGTTCGAGATCGAAAAAAAGATTTCAATACTGAGATGGAATCAACTAAGGCAGAGGCTCATGATTTGCTAAAGAAGCAATTGGAAGAGGTAGTTACGGATTGTAACCAAATGAAAGAGAGCGCTTGTGGTTGCAGAAACAGAGCTTGAGGCTACAACGGAAGGAGAAACTCGAGGAAAGAAGATGAGAATAATTCACTTCTTGATGATGAGAACAATAGGTTTTGCTTGAAGCTCTTGTTGCTGCTGAGAATTTGAGCAAAAACGCTAACGAAGAGAATCATAAGCAATATATCATTTTATTATATACTTACAACTCTAGAATTCTTCTGCAAACACACAAAGAGATACAAAATTTTCAGATTTTGCAATTTCCCTTTGAATAAATCGAAAACAGAGTGGCTCTGTTTTTCTGTGTTTACAAAACATTTTGTTAAGGATAATCTTTCATGATGAATTGAAAAGCGTAGTCCATTAAACCTCCGTTGCAACCTTGATTGTAGGATTTGTCGCAGTCGGTCTAGTTCTTGTTCTGATAGAGATATGAATTCTCCTGTTACGATCTTGCGTATACCTTCTACTAGTAACCAGCCCCGGCCCAATATATTTGGGAGTCTTAGGACAAAATTTTTTTTTTGACCTATTATTATATATAAAAAAATAATTTACCTATTTTTTTTTTAAGAATTGCAGATTGTTTACAGTAAAAATTGTTATATTAAAATTTTAAGCCTTTATATATATATTTTTAAAGAATTAGGCCTCTTGAAATATAATTCTCATACTAATATTTTTTTAAAAAAAATATTTGAGCCTTTTTTATATGTAAAATTTTTATTAAAAAAAAAAACTTTAGGCCGTCGTACCTCCGCCCCACCCATATGAGCCCGGGCTGCTAGTAACTTCCTGTGTTGATCAATACACAAACACAAATATAACATTAACGCACACAGCAACATGTATTAAGGGTTTGGATATTGATTCTACGAAGATTGAGATGGAATCAACCCAAGTAGACTCTCGCACATGCTCATGAGGCTGCAACAAACAAGCTTCTTCCTCTTAGAAAGCAGTGTGTGATTTTTTGGCATTAGCTTTGAAAGAGGTGGCTACGGACTTTTGTAGTCAAACGAAAGAGCAGCTTGTGATTGCAGAAACAGAGCTCGAGGCTACACGGTTAGAGTCTCGGCAATGGAAGAAGCGAGGAAAGAAGCTGAATTGCTCAAGAATTAGGATTGAAGCAAGGGAATCTCTTTCTGCTTTGAATCTGTGTTCAGTGAGTTGTATAAAGAGTGGAGAAGAATTCACTTGTTGCTCTTGTCTGTCCCTGATGAGAATCTGAGCAATAAGGCTAAAGAAGAGACTCATTATAAGGTTAGAGATATACTTAAACATGAGATTGATTATTGAAGCTAATGTTGCCAAAGAAGCTGCTGGGATTCGAGACCGAAGACCAATATTCTTTCGAGTGAACAAACTCAAGAAACCACCAACTGAGTATGCAGGGAGTTGAGGAGCAAGAAAGAAACAGATTCCATGACCATCTGCTGAAAGGTTACGAGCATCGATTTTGAAAGAGAAACTGGTGTTGAAATTTGAAGCCTTACCAGTTCTATGACTCCGTATAGGCACCTTCTTGGAATAAGTAATCTTAAAACTTGGATAACATTACACGTATGTAGACCTCCCTGTTTTAGGATCCCATATAGCAACTTTACGAGAGCATAACGTAGACCAACCAACACTAACCAGTAACCACAAGTATAAGCAGCATTGTTATATTCAATCACACCAATTTGTACCAGAGATGTTTAAGTGAAACGTGATTGAAATTTTTTCAAGCTAAGAAGGTCTAAACAAATGCTAAAACAAAACGAAACCAACAAAACTGTAGAGTAAGATAATGCATATATGTAGAAGAAAAAAAAATAGGGTACACATGTAAAAACCAAAACTATTGCGGTATATACTTAAATAAACAAAAGTACACGATAGGGAACATTTGCAAAACACAGAATTTGCGGGTGCATACGAAAATAAAATTGAAAAAAAACAGAGCAAGTATCAGTGACCCGGACTCTGTTTTGGAAGATCACTGAAAACCTTAGGATCATCATCGCGCAAATAGAAACCATCGTCGAAGTTCTGCGAATAACTCACAGCATCGTAGTGAAACGTAACTAACGTTTTTGATTTATTATTCTCCAATCCGCAACTTCTAACCAATAATAATCTTCTCATCAAATCCCTTAACTTCGGACTTGGTCTTGTCTTCTTGCCGTGGTTACTGATCCGAGCGTACTCTGTTTCTGTATGGATGAAACAAGATAACGGCGAACTCGAGCATCGACCAGTGGAGTATGATTGCCTACGATTGTCGGCAAGATCTCTCTCCATTTCTTGCAAAAAAAAGAGGGTTTATTTTATTGATTGAATGGGAAATTTGGGGTTCATAATCGACGAAAGAGTTAGAGCTAACAATAAATGAATTACCAAGAAAAGTTGGAAAATAATGTTAGATTTTGGATGGTTATGTTTTAGCGGTCCAATCATAATTTCTCTTTTTTTCCTTTTTCTTTGGTAACTCATAATTTCTCGTTTATGGGAAGCATTCATTTATTGAAATTTGGAAGTTTTCACTAGTCAACATATTTTGTTGTAGTGAGTAGTGACATTTGAAATGGTGATACAATGTCAATGTGAAGTTATTAATTTTAATTCCGGTTGGTAAATACATTGGCAATCCTTACAATAACGTGATTATATTGTTTGGTTTCATCAAATGATTTAAAGTTCATTGTTTTTTGTTTTTAAAATGAACGTAAAGTTATACAACATTTTTGGTTTAGTGAACAAGGGTGATGACTTGCCAGATCCGTTGTCGTCGTATTTGGGGAACAACACACACTACACACACAGAGCTACATCACTATAACTATCTTAAACGTGTCTTGTTTGTTCCAATTGAGATGCTATCGTCGAACAAGACTCGTGAACTTGTGAGGCCATTACTTTTCTTTTTTTTTGTTGATGGGGGATATGTGAGGCCATTACTTTTTGTTGTTACTTCATATCAGTTTTCAGAAAAGGCAAAAGGAAAAAAAAAGAGGGTAAAATTCGCTAGAAGGAGGGGTCGAACCTCCGACCTTGTGGTTAACAGCCACACGCTCTAACCAACTGAGCTATTCCAGCTTTTGCTTAATGAATAAAAAACAAGTATATATTCCAAAAACATGTTTCAATTTCATTTTGACTTGCCAACATTACCCTTTGTCGCGTCAATTAAAAACATATCGACGACGACTTTGGAACCTCACATAATCGCATGTAAGTAAGTCACACGAAAAAAAAATCTCAAAGAAAATAAAATAAAAAATAAAAATGAAGAGAATAAGAATAATCGCGACGCTTGTAATAGCAAACATGTTAATGGCGACTCCAACGTCTCGAGCGTCTCTCAATCTTCTTCGTCGTTCACCAAAACCCAAATATTTCTCATCTTCTTCTTGTCAATTTCGTCCCTCAACTTTTCGAAAATCATATCCTTGCCCCATCTGGTCTTCTTCTTTCTCTTTCTGTCTCCCTCCTCCTAGATCCACTACCTCCACCTCTCTCTCCTCCTCCTTCCGTCCCTTCTCCTCTCCTCCGTCTATGTCTTCCGCCGCCGCTGCCGCCGTAGACTCTGTTATCTCCGAGGAGACTCTTTCCTCGAATCCTCTCTTGCAGGACTTCGATTTCCCTCCGTTTGATTCCGTTGATGCCAGTCATGTTCGTCCTGGGATTCGTGCTCTATTGCAGCATCTCGTATGTTCACACCTCCTTCTTCGTTTCTCATCAGAGATTCATGTATTTTTTTATTCGATTCTTATTGGTTTTTGAATTTCAGGAAGCTGAATTGGAGGAGCTAGAGAAATCTGTGGAGCCATCGTGGCCAAATCTGGTTGAACCTTTAGAGAAAATCGTTGATCGGTTAACTGTTGTTTGGGGAATGATCAATCACCTTAAAGCTGTTAAGGACACACCTGAGCTTCGTGCTGCCATTGAAGACGTTCAGGTTAAATATTAATCATTAGATGTGTTCTCATGCTTATTTGTGTTGGTGTCTCGGTATAGCATTGTTTTGCTAACTACACTGTTGTTCTGCAGCCAGAGAAGGTGAAGTTCCAGCTCAGATTGGGACAAAGCAAGCCTATTTACAATGCCTTTAAAGCTATTCGTGAATCTCCTGATTGGTCATCTCTCAGTGAAGCTCGTCAACGCTTAGTAGAAGGCAAGTACTTCTTATTAAAAGAACAAATCTTTCATTCTCTTTGCAGATTTTAGTGAGCTCTAACTGTGGTTTCAGTATGTTTTCAGCTCAAATAAAGGAGGCGGTTCTCATAGGTATTGCTCTTGATGATGAAAAGAGAGAAGAGTTTAACAAAATTGAACAGGTTTGTTGTAAGTTATGAACAATTAAATCAGTTTACTTGGTAAAAATTTGGTTCTATGTTTGTCACACTGTTTTGTTCTTGATTCTAGGAACTCGAAAAACTTTCCCATAAGTTTTCTGAGAATGTTTTGGATGCTACAAAGAAATTTGAAAAGTTGATTACAGACAAGAAAGAGATCGAGGGATTGCCTCCATCTGCTCTCGGGCTATTCGCACAAGCAGCTGTCTCCAAGGTATCAATATTAACTGAAAGATTTACAAAGTTACATGTTTTTTTTTTTTTGGGGTTTGCCAATTTTTTGCTTCTTGATATGTGACACTAGGGCCATGAAAATGCAACTGCTGAGAATGGACCATGGATCATTACACTAGATGCTCCTAGTTATCTTCCTGTCATGCAACATGCTAAGAACCGTGCTCTGCGTGAGGAAGTTTACCGTGCTTACCTATCTCGTGCCTCTTCTGGCGATTTGGATAATACAGCAATTATCGACCAGATCTTGAAGCTTCGCTTGGAAAAAGCTAAGCTTCTTGGTTACAACAATTACGCTGAGGTGGAGTCTTCAACCTAAGTAAAAAATGTTCTTTTTTCTTTCTTTTTGGCTTAACTTGACTTTCTACTGTTCTAGGTAAGCATGGCTATGAAAATGGCTACTGTTGAGAAAGCAGCAGAGCTTTTAGAGAAGCTTCGTAGTGCATCTTGGGATGCGGCTGTTCAAGGTAACATAAAAAGAAGATATATTCAAGAAATAACATGAGGCATTGACCTATCCAAGACAGAACTTTGACTTTCTTGATTCGTTGTATAAATTAGACATGGAAGACCTCAAGAGTTTCGCAAAGGACCAGGGTGCAGCAGAATCTGACAGTTTGACTCACTGGGACACCACTTTCTGGAGTGAGAGGCTTCGTGAATCCAAATATGATATTAATGAGGTTCTTTGTCCTTCTGTGTACTGGTGATGCAATTATATTGTTTTGAAAGTCTTGATCCTTAGCTCTCGTTTTGGTCTTTCTAGGAAGAACTACGTCCATACTTCTCACTGCCAAAGGTTATGGATGACTTTTCAGTCTTGCTAAGACACTATTTGGATTGATATTGACCAGCAGATGTT